TATTTTGATTTTTTTGCACCCTCAGATTCCAGATTTTCAAATAGTTGTATCTCGGCCAAATATTGTCGTATCCTAACAAACCATACATCAATGGAAAGCTTATTTATTCAGCTGGTGTATACATTTCAATAAAAAAAAAATTGACCCTTGTGACTGGTTTTGTGGTCCAGGGTCACATATTTGTGAGCATTAGTGGAACTGAAGGTGTCAAAATAAACATGAAACACGCTTGACTGTTGTCGTCGGTGCTCGTGTTGCCGCTCTGGAGAAGTTGCACGAATAGGAACCAGTCGGCTGATCTTGAATCTCTCTTGTGGTACTTTGATGATATACGTCACAGCGGTTGCCGCTATCTGAAGTTGGACACAATTTCTAAAAGGCATGCACTGCTTTAAGATGCTGATCGGTCTGCGCAGCGCTGTATGAAGTCAAGCGTCGGCGCCGGTTCAAGTCGGACAAAATTTCTAACCGGCATGCACTGCTTCAAGTCAGCCGCCGATTGGTTTGGCGGCGCCGCATGAAGTCAAACGCACCTAAACACACCTATTATATTGCCAGTGATGTCATTGGTGGCAAATCAAATTGCTCATGGAAGTCATGTGACATAATAAGTTTAGTATTTGAGATTTTCAGTGAATGACTCACATTTCACTCTTTTTCTCACACAAAGCTATCATATGGCTTCGAAAAGACATGAGTAGCATGAGTTGTATGGCCTACTTTTATGGTGTCTTTTTTTTGTTATTGTTTATTTTGTAGTTTGACAGAGTTTCTTGTATAAAAAAGTACTATGGAAAGATTCTTAAAAGTTAACAGTTTTATGAGTTAAATGAATGAGTTAATAATGACAGAATGTTCTTTTTTGGATGAACTGTTCCTTTAAGAGACTAGTGTCCGGGAGAAGTTAGCTTGACCCAGCCTCAAGCTCTTCTGTATTCAGTGCTGGAGATACAGCTGACTGTACGAGACTTACTCGCTTGAGTAGCAGGCCATTTTTTCTATTGCCAATTAAAATGAAAGAGTAGCGCTGGACAGTCCTCCACTCTTGTGTTCCGTCTCCCCTTCCACCTTTTTATTGTTTCCCGGCACTCGCATTCATTGAGCAGATGAATAAATGGAGAAGGAAGAGTGACTTTCTGGTTGATAATGTGCAAACGCCTCATTTGTGTAATTGTGTCATGCTTGCATTAGCATGGGGCTTCAGGTGCCTAATTGTTCTGCTTTAATATTGCAGTGGGCGCTCATTTACTCACAGCGACGGCCACTAGTCCTATCAACTGACCTTGGGAAGGAAGGAGAACGAGAAAGACATTGAAAAAAAAATTTTAAAGCCCAGGAGTACAAATATAGAGAAATAACAAATAGAGGCTTGTTCAATTTGTCAACTTGGAGCTTCTAAGAGTGAGTCCATTTTTTTGGAGTGATACTTTACCACCAAGACAACAATGCAACTCGCACAATTCCAAGCACATATCTCTCTTATCAGTGCACAGCTGAGAGGATGTGGGCGATAAAGTCAAGGGTGGTTACGGTGGAGTGTAGACCAGCGCGCTTCATCAGGAGGCTTCGGCAGAAATGAGCCGATGCCCGACTCTCTGTGAGCAAAATAAAGAAGCAGTCAAGTGTTTCCTCGAAAATTGAGTGCTGAGAGAACAAGTATATATCAGTTTATCAGAAGGCTAATGAAGCTAATACATGCTCCATTATTAAGACTGTGTGACTTGAGGGGCTTTTGTTAAACAAACTGAGATGACATGAACGAAGAGGATTAGAATAATTAACATAAATGACTCAATCTGCAAAAAAGATCACTGTTCTCACTACTAGACCTGCACCTGTTGCTTATAGCAAATTAATTTTCAGCAGGTGTCTGGCAGAAGACATCACCATTCAGTTTTTAACCCATCCATATTGATATCATCATCATCATAATCATCATCAAGGAAATCAGGAGTTGATAAATGTGCAAACTGTACACTAAAAATAAATAAATTATTATTATTATTATAAATTTTAAGGATTTATTTTGAAACATATTTCATTCAGAAATATTTCTTAAATAATTACAAAAAACAGCAAATAACACATTGGAATAAACATGAAATTTTGAAGTAGAAAGACAACAAAAATGTAATAAAAATAACCCAAAAATGAATCAAGTCAAAATCATCAAATACAAAGGGTATGTTTACACAACAATAATATACTAAAAGCGGAAAAGTTTTTCCTTTTCATTTTTAAAAACGTTTTGTGTACAGATGGTAATTTTGTAAAAATTATCCCCTTTCAGACAGATCTGCAAAAACAACTAAATGCGCTGTATTATGCATGCCAGGCCAGTAGTTGGTGACGTGACTTTGTAAAGAAACACTACACATAATATGCATGTGCATGACATTTTTTGTAGTTTATACACAGACGAAATCGGTATCTTTTTCAAAAATGTGCACTTTGAAACCCATTTTCAGAAGTTTTTGTTTCCCCCCAAAACACTGTTGTTGTGTAAATGAATGAAATGGAAAATGTAATAAATAATTTTTTTAAACCAGTTGTCTAAGCCGTAAATGCCATGTGACTATACTATTCTATATAGAAAAATGAATATCTATCTCTCATTGTTAAGAGCCTTCCAACAAATCACTGGTGAAACAATGTAATGAAATATAAAGTCATAATATACTAAAGTTGATGGCCGTCAACACAGAAACATGCTTGTTGTCCAAATAATGGTGTAGTTATGTTATGGTGTGCGTTTTTGTAGTTATGGTATCTACCAGCAGGAGTTAACTGGATAATGCTAACTAGCCAGTCTCTGAGCTCATGGATACAACAGGCCTGTCACCTGACACTGCACTGTCACATGACATCATGCACCTGCCATGTTTGGAGGATGGCGTGTAGGTGAGTGTTTGATTCAGCGATTTGATTTTCAGCTCAAGACATCCAAAATCTCAAGCATGTGTAGTCTATGATAAACATACGAACAAATGTTGCTGACATTGTGCAATTATGTAGCCTAGTATTTTATTGCTGCAATTGTTGTTAATGAGTTTTTGGGGAGTAAAATAATTGGAGCTTCATGTGATTATTTTAGAAATGATTAAGGCACAATCAAATGAGTTATGTGTGACATGTCATTGTTATCTTATAATGTTTTGATAGATTTTTATTATAAACTGTGGGTTTGAAATGTGAATTCGTTTTTATATTATACACATAAAAAGGACTCAACTTTTGATTCATGTAGGGATCCCACTCATAAGCTCAAGTCATTTGTTTGTGAATTGGACTATGTTGGTTGCTCTGTATGTTTTTGATTTGCTTAAAGACAAACTGTAAGAACCCATAAGAGTCAGTAGTTCATGGATCAAGAAACACTACACATAATATGCATGTGCATGACATTTTTTGTAGTTTATACACAGACGAAATCGGTATCTTTTTCAAAAATGTGCACTTTGAAACCCATTTTCAGAAGTTTGTGTTTCCCCCCAAAACACTGTTGTTGTGCAAATGAATGAAATGGAAAATGTAATAAATAATTTTTAGTTGAAAACAGTGTCGTGTAAATAACTTCTTAATCAGAACACAATCTTGTTCTAATATCAAATATTCAAATGTAGAACTCACATTTACTATATTTTCACTCTATGTTTGTGTGCATCTTAAGGAATGGTTACAAGTCAGCAATTCCAAAACAACTTGAGTGAAAGCCTTAGAGTATCTGATTTTAACAGTACTTAAGTATTTTACTTATACTATATATAGGCTAAAAAAATGCACTAGTCAAAGAGACATGTCAGTGAAAAACTGTAATGTTGTGGAGAAGCTGGGGAAAAAGGCAGAGGCAAGGATCTATGTGCAGGTATTTAATGGAAAAACTAGAACAAACAATAAGCCAAAGACCAAAGGGAACAAAGAACAGAATGACTGGCAAACAGACAACCATTAGGCATACATTCAACAACTCACAAGGAACTAAAGAAAAACTAGGGCTATATACAGTATACACACTGGGGGCTAACAAGCTTAAAGCCCCGTTCACACCAAGAACGATAACTATATTAGCTTCCACACCAGCGATATCGTCTGATTATTCGAAGCGTACACTCGTCTGCCGCTTTAAATTCTCGAGCTCGTTACAGCAGGATTGATTCTGATTGGCTGTCAATGTTTTTATCGTTCATCAGCTGGAAAAAATTGTTCTGATCTGAAAGTGATTTCAACGATATTGTTTCTCTGTGCCTTTATCGTTATAGCTGTGGTGTGGACTCTGCTATTCTTTAATATTGAGAACGATTCTCATATATAAAACACCTGTGATTCACAAATACTTGCTAAGGAACTCGCATTTACATAAAGTAGCCTTGTTGAAAAGTTTGGGTGAGTAAGGGCAAAACGCACAAATGCAGTACTTTCAGTGACCTGTAATAGGCAGTATCACAGAAATAAACTGCTGCAGAAAAGGCTAGGTCCATGCAAAATGTAATGTGTAACTGCAACATAATTTCAAATGTAGTGGAGTAAAGAGTACAGATACTCATTCAATAATGTAATGAAGTAGGGAGTAAAAGTTGCTAATATCTTTGATACTCAGTACAACTACAAAGTATCCAAAAAGATACTCAAGTACAGTAACTAATTACATTTACTCCAATACTTTACACCTCTGGATCAGACTAATCTCATTGCGCTGCATGTTTTTGATTCACTAAAAAGAACCGGCTCATAAGAGTAATTTGTTTATGAATTGGACTATGCTGCTTGCTTTGTATGGTTTTGATTTGCTAAAAGACATCTCGTAAGAATCAGGCTGCTTGTGAAGCAGGCTAGGCTACTCTGGTTGCGTGACATGTTTTTGATTCATTAAAAAAAAATGGTTCATAAGAGTCATCTGCTTGTGAATCTGACTAGACTGTGTTCAGTGTATGTTTCTGATTCACTGAAAAGAACGGGAGACATACCGGATATTAAGAGTTACGTGAAGTACCATTATTTTGAGGTATATAGTCATTTTATCCCAGCACATTTAATTTGGACTACAAACATAAAACTCGGTTAGATTATTACTTTTCTTTTGCCATGACACTGTAGCGGACCAGTGCACAAAACCCACTGGGTAATACGCGTTACCTATTTGAGTGTGACGTATTTGACTTCATTTTTGACTTTTGATAGCTGACTTTAGCAAATCTCTGCATATATAGGTTCTCTTTGGCTTAACTTTGTTTTCAGCTCATCTGAGAAGACGGTATTCCCAAGAAAGATCTAAACAAAAATCAGAGTCCATGTCAATCATAGTCTGTCAAACGCTGGTGTTTTTAATCTCAGTCAGTGCTCTGCTGGTCATCGGTCAGGCTGTTGAAGGAGAGGAGTGTGTTTTGTTGTTTCGTTTCCTCATTAGCAGGCTGAGCTGTGATTGAGTCTGGCTGCAGGATGGAAGATTCACTCAGACAGAGACAAAAGGGTCTGCCAGTGTTTGATCTTATTGATTTATTTCACAAGGATCTCAGAGTTTCTGTATAATATGACACTGACTCAATGTAAACACGCACATTCGGGGAATGCAAACACTTGCAAGGAAACTGAGCGAACACAAATACATTCTTAACAAAATATTTTGAAGTGTTTTCAAGTAAGCATCTTTGGCATGTTGATTACTATTAATACGACTAATTTCAACCATGCTGCACATGGTCATAACATAAGGCACTGTAGTCGCATTCCTGGTCTGCAATCGCGTCTGTTGCAAATGCAAAATGATCTATATTAGTATTCGGATAGAACAGGATATGGACAAGACTTCCCACATGTACACATTTGAGGAATGTATGTAACCAAACAGTTGCTGGTCCCCAGTGATTCATAGTATGGAATAAATACTATGTAAGTCCAGTTTGGTTACTCGCATGACTCAAAATATCTTCTTTTGTGTTCAACAGAAGAAAGAAACTCATATAGGTTTGGAACAACTTAAGGGTGAGTCAGACTATCCCTAAATCAGATGTGCCTCAGAACATAATGCACATTTTTGGATGTATAGTCCATTTAACATTTCTATATAGCAGATATGCCTTTTATGATTTATAAAATGCAGCCATTTCAATTCATGCACATTTTCATATATAAAGTTTACACTAGTTATATTGGTTTCAAAGACTCACCATTTATTAATCAAAATGTCTATATTCTCTCTCGCTCTCGCTTAGAAACAACCAACAAAGCATTCTTTTATCTTTAGCATTATTAATCTTTCTTGCTCTGTTTCTGAGTTTTCATTTATAATGAGCTTAATTTGTCATGCCAATAATTGCATATTTGCATTGCCAAAGCATCTGCAATGGTGCAACTAATGCATATAAAATGAGGAAAAAAGATAATATACAAAGCAATTTACAATTTGACTCTCTATCTCTCTCTCTCTCTCTGTGATTCAAACACATAATCCAACGATTACAAATGATTACATTGTATAATTGTCCAGAGCACTTTAAAATGCAAGTACAAGTCCAAAAAGAGAACTTAATAAGATATGGACACTTAACTAGAGCCAAATAAGACATAGATTTCCCTGACAAGTAAAGTTTGGCCACAGGAATATATTTTACATTCCAATTACAATAAAAGTGAAACGGTGTAGTGAAGTAAAAGGTGATGGATTTACAGAGATTATCTAGTTTTCCCCACTCCATATTCCTCAGTAGGGAATAATATTCCTTTTAGAAAGCAGTGAAATTCCTTCTGAACTGATTCAGATTTATCTCAGAAATGTGACTCGAGCAGATACTGATCTCACAGCGACGCTGTTTTTCTTTGCCTGTTATGATGATAATGGAAGCACGCGTGACGTCTCTGGGCCTCTTAGCCCTCAGGTGAAGTGACATGCTGGTAAACACCTGCGTCCTGGTGGGGCTGATGTGATCAGTGTGTGTGTGACACTCGGCTCGTTGGCCTGTAGAAAATGGGAATACGCAAAGGTGTAAATGAGCTCTGTGCTTGGCTGACAGGGTCTTTATGGATGGTCGCCCGCTATCGCACGCCTAAGAGGCAGACCATTTCTGATGGCCATTAGAGTGTCGCCCTGGCGCAGGCTCGCTGACGCTTTGCGAAGATCCAATTTAACACGCCGCACCCATTCACGTCCCAATAACATCAGCTCTCATCCTGTGGGTGGCCGTCTTAAGCAGATATCATTGTGCTTATCAGGATGAGACGGGTCTAGAATATGTGAGGTGGATTTCTGTGCTTTTGTTCCGTGATGGAGGCCCGGAAGGGCTGAATTTCAGTCATATCATGCTGCTGCTTCTTATGGCAGTGGTGCAATTTGGACAATTTAAAAGTTAAATTCAACATGAAATCAAAATTGACCCTATTTTGGTATGTAACGCCCACTTTTTCAAATCTAATCAAGTCCTATAGTCCTTTTTTTTCAATGAATATACTGTAAAACATCATATTATGAAAGTAAAATGACATGACTTTAAAATAAATGTTAACTAGATCTCTGTGTATTAGTAAAATCATGGTTAACCTGGAAGGATAATGTTCTTTTTTTGCAAATTAATCCGTCACTATTCATTTATTTACTGGTGCAAAAAAGATAAAACTGATGAATAAAACCCTAAGATGTGATTTTGAGAGCAACTGGAAGTGAAATTTGATGTGTATGGCCATTAAATCTGTTTGAAGACTTGTTGTAGCCTTGCCATCTTACAAAGGCTGCACAAAAAATAGAAAATTATGTCATTTGTCATCTTGACTTGGTCTCATTCCCCCTCTTTCTCTCCTTTTCATTCTCTTAGATGTCTGTTAATAATATTAGCAGGTGGTAGCATCTGTAATATGATAAAAACAGCTCAGAGCTGTCATCTCTGCTGGTTTAAAGATGTCATTTAGCACTGAGAATCACATGTGTGCAGGCCTGTGTTTTTAGTATGAACAGCAGAGCTTATGAGAGCAAACATTTTACATGGTGATTGGTGTAAGGCCACAAGGGAAGATGCGATTTTAAATTTAATCACAAATTGCCTGTTTAAAAATTGTTAGGATTGGACCTGTGTTGTCATGTGTTTCAGTTCCTGTTTTGCCTTATTTGGTCTTGTTCCTGTCCTCGTTTAGTTTGATTGTTAATTGATTCACCGCACCTGTCTGTCCCTCGTTATCCAGTCCTTATAAGCCCCAGTCTGTTCAGTTTGCATTTCTCAGTTCTACTTGTTTCTGCGTGTTTGCCCAGCTCCTATTGTGAATTATCCCTTGTTTTCATCATTAAAGACTGTGAATTCTACTCCGTGTCTCCTACGTTCTTTCCGCAGCAGTGTAACATGACAGAAGAACCGACCAAATACAGTTACCTCCGTGTGTTGCCTCCGTTTTATTTCCCATTTTCACCCAGTGTCTTTTTTTTTCTGTTGTGTACCCTCATGGATGACCTCCTTCGCCCGGAATATCTCCTCCTCCTGCTGGAGCAGGGGGAGAGATCGCTCGAGGACCATACGAGACTGTTCCGGCTCTTAGCATACACCACCAGAGCACAACATGCTCTGTGCATTTTACGATGCCAGTTTAAACATCACGTGCAGAGCGCCGTCGTCCGAGGAAGTTCCTCGAGCGGATTTCACCGCCTTTGTGGAGTGGATACTCTCCCGGGAGACATACCGGATATTAAGAGTTACGTGAAGTACCATTATTTTGAGGTACATAGTCGTTTTATCCCAGCACATTTAATTTGGACTGCAAACATACAACTCGGTAGTACCACTCCTGACCTAGAGCCAAGCCCACCATCTCCCCGCAATGCGGAGCATCGGCCCGAGCCCACTGTTGACGGAGAGCCATTTCCTGCCGCGATCAGCGAGCCAGCGCAAAGCTGATCGACTGAGCAGAGGATCGCCCCGGATGTAGAGCTGAACCCGTCAGACCAGGTGCGAGAGCCGGAGACAATGCCCGTCACGAGGGAGAAAGCCGCGGACGGTGTGAGCGCGGAGAGGAGCTCCGCCCCCTGCACCGCGGCTGAGGGTGAGCTGAGTATGGCGCGGCGAATGTGCCACACCGAAGAGGAGAGGGCTTCAGTCCCCGAATCCAGTCCAGAGCGCCCTCCAGTGCCCACTCCTAGAAAGTGCCCTCAAGTGTCCGCTCCTCCTGACCACCGTCCTGTTCCTGTGTTCAGCCTAGAGGAGGCTTCCGATCCAGAGTTAAGCCCCGAATGCCCGGAGACTCACAAATGCCCACCCGCTCCTGCCTCCTCCAATGCTGTCGTCTGGCAGCCCCTCTGCTCGCTCTCAGCCCACCATCATTACGTCCAGTTAAAGACTGTGAATTCTACTCCGTGTCTCCTACGTTCTTCCCACAGCAGCGTAACGTGACACAAATAGTCTATCAGCCTTTCTATTATGTATCACTCTTGGTGCATTTTAAATATTTTAGTGAATAAACATTTAAATAACACTATCACATTTGTTAAAGTGGTGCAATCTGCTTGTATCAACACTAATTATGTATAAATGACTGACGCATGTTACATAGATACCCATTTATGCCATGCTTCAGTGAGAGGCTCTGGTAGACCTGTATTATTGATTTTAATTGATCGATTTTTGGGTCCTGCCCACTTGGTCCAAGAGATCATCTTTTGCATTGGAAAATGCAAGTGATTGTTTATTTAACATTGAGTTTTCAATATATTTTGTGAACTACCACTCACATGAAGCATTCTCTCTAACTTTTTGCCAGAAATTAAGAAAATTT